TTGTTGTCTCTCTCTCTCTCTCTCTCTCTCTCTCTCTCTCTCTCTCTCTCTTTCTCTCTCTCTCTCTCTCTTCCTCCGGCTTCGGCAATAAAATATATTTTTTTAAAAAGACTTAAATCTAAAGAGAAGGACCAGATAGCTACTGCAGTTCTACTTATGGTGACAAGAATATCAGATATCGTTATGCATACAGTCTTCTCTTGAATAAAATGCCTGGTTTCTAGGAATCAGCTCAAGAACTTTTTCCGAGAAATCTCTGGACCTTCCCACGTGCCTGGCCTCTGTAAAGGCAGGAGTCACTTGTGGAATGGTTTGCCTTATTTACCTCTATATGTGTAGCATCCTGCCACGTGCCTGGTATACACCAGGGATTAAACGACGTTTACTGAGTGGAGGAGTTAAAAAAAATTAAATTGTATCTGATCCTGATGAATCACTATATATAAATGTAATAAGTATAAAAATAAAATAAGTTGTCACTAGTTTTTATAGTAAAGCTTATGTTTTGTAGATGGAAAGTATCACAAGCAAATTAAAATAGAGGAGAATGCAACAGGATTCAGTTATGAGTCGCTTTTTCAAGAATACCTTAATGAGACAGTGAGAGAAGTTTGGATAGAAGACCCTTATATTAGACATACTCATCAGGTAAGTGTAACCCACTAACATGTGATGGAATGTTATTTAAAATGTGCAAGGTAGTAGTAACCCATCCTAAATGTCTTTCAGCTGTATAACTTCCTTCGATTTTGTGAGATGCTTATCAAGAAACCATGTAAAGTACAAACCATTCATCTTCTGACCTCCCTGGATGAAGTAGGTATCTGAAGGCATTTACTCTTTCTTAACTTCATTTTACTCAGTCACAAGATTCAGTTCAAGCAAGGAAAACCTGGACGTAATGCTAGAGGTATTTCCTTGGGGTGAACTTATTTTCTAACGATGGGCATAAAACACCTTGAGAAAATGCTGTTGATTTTAGTGTCTTGTACCTTGCAATTGACCAGCTTGCTAAACTTGATTTAAATAGTTTGTCAGTTTACTCTCTTGCATGTTCTAAGAGACAGTCACACTGACTACACTGTTGACAATTTTGTGTGTGTTTTCTCCCTACTAGTTGTCATGTGTATCTCTTTTTCTTGATTGACTGCATTGGCATTCTGGGGAATCATAGCATGGTAGTGGGCATCTCTCTCTTGATTTTGACTTAACATAGGAATGTTTCTAAATAATCCAGATTTCTAGGATTAATTTGAAAACAAGCCAGTTTCATCTAAATAACTAAACAGCAGTACTATAAATATATTTTTAGGAGATAGGACAGAGTTATGTCCACATTAGAAAAAAACAATTCTTTTGATAAAAACAGTTGCTCATAAACTACATCATATTCTTTGCTGGCTTCATTGAGATTAATAGACATTGAAACTAGTGTAGAATTTTTCCATTTTTATTTTTTAATCTTTCCATTTTAATTCACCTATGATACACATTGCATAGCTCAGGGATAATTTAAAATATTAATAACTGAGTCAGAAAATGATATTTTTTCCTATTAATAGGGCTTTGGGAAAGCACAGCAAATTAGTGGCCTGGAAGAAATAAAAGCATCTCTTAGGAATCATGGAGTGCTGTTGGAATTAGAATATTCTTCTTCCATACATGACCGAGAAATTAGGTTAGTATATAGTAATATTTTAAATTTTATGCAGTTGAAAAATACTTTTTATTTTTCTTAAGTTGTATATAATTGCACATAAATATTCCATTTAAATATTGAACTTTTTAAATAAAGCTCAGTTCTAGTATCTTTTCACTTTTGAAGAAAAAAAAAGTCTGGCTAATTTTGTCCTGTATGTGTTTTGTATTTCCTGATGCAATAAAATTTACATGTTCTATGTCATGTAAGAAGAGGAAGTACTTTTCTCTTCTTACATGACAATTATACATATTGTGTTATGGTATTGAGAGAATTTATTTCCCTTTGTGTGATACTGATATTTATTTAATGTGGCTTTACTTCTTACACTTTATAAAATATTCTAGTAGGCATGTCAGTATACTGTGTCCATAAAGAAACAGTATATGCAGTTTTTTTAGTGGTATGTTCCCTGTGTTTAGCACAGTGCCTTTCATATGTTTACTAGAGGCCCAGTGCACGAATTCATGCACAGGGGGGGTCTGGGTGGCCTGCCCTGGTGGGGTTTTGGGGGCTGATCGGGGGCCAGGGGCCGGGGCGGTTAGCCAGCTGGCCCCCCCCCCAGTCAGGGTGTTGGGAGCCAGTCGGGGGGTTGGGAGCCAATCGGGGGCCGGGCCGGGGAGGCGGGCGGTGATTGGGGCCTGGATCAGGCTGGTTGGCTGCTGCAGCGTGCGTCATAGCCACCAGTCATTCTGCTATTTCAGTCACTGGGCTTTTATATATATAGATAGCAATGGCACCCCCAGTCTTAGGAAAAACTTAAGCACAACCTAAATGCAAAACCGATGACAATGCAGCTGCTGTGGTTGAAGCAGACAGAGGTCAGGATCCATAGTTCTTCCTGCTTATGCCCCTATTACTAGGTAGGAAACCCCTGAACCACCACCACAACCTGCCTGAGTATACTTTGAAACCAGGTGTTGGCAGAACAGGAAAGTTTTATCAGCAGCAAGCTGAAATTCAAGAGTAAGTTTTTTATCCTCACCCAAGGATATGTTTATTGATTTTGGAGAGAGGAAGGGGAGAGAGAGAAAGACAGAGAGAAAGAGAAAGAAACATTGATGTGAGAGAGAAACATCAATCATTTGCATCTTTTACATGCCCCGACCAGGGATCTTACCTGAAACCTGGGTATGGGCCCTGACCTGAAGTCGAACCCACAACCTCTTGGTGTAGGGATGATGCTCCAACTGAGCCACCTGGCCAGGGCTCAAGAGTAAGTTTTAATGTAATTTTGATTGTATCAATCAAATCAACCCATGGTTTCTCTGAATGTTTTGTTTCACTGTAGACACAGCCCATGAGTTATTCCAGGTTTGGTTCAACTCATGCTACTGGAGGAAATGGTTTTCTTTTAGGGGGAAATGGTTTTCTTTTAGGGGGAGATTTACCGACACTTCATACCCTACAGCTTTGCTAATTGTCTGGCATAACTGGAATATACTATATACCTATTTCAATAGGTTCAACAATGGATGGATGATTAAGATTGGAAGGGGACTGGATTATTTTAAGAAACCACAGGTAGGATATAGCCTTATGGGTAGATAGCACTCTTTTTGTATCATTTTAGCATGGCTTTGGTTCTTTGTTAAAAAATTCTTTTCTTCTCTTCTTAGGGTCGTTTTTCCCTTGGATATTGTGATTTTGATTTAAGACCATGTCATGAAACAACAGTGGACATTTTTCATAACAGGCACACGAAAAAAATATGATGGGCAGTAGCTTAATTTACAGTGTATATTTCTATTTTAAGTGAATATTAGATTTTTTTATACTTTGGACAGATTATTCCTATAAAATGTGAATTTAATAATAAACTTGTACATTCCTACTAATTTATGGACTCATTATTCATTTGTGACCAATCTTAAATATCTTTGTAAATACATTACTTAGATTTACAGTGTTTTTAAGTCGTACAGTTAAACATTTTACCAGCTTTCTACTACTTGGGTGTTGGAGAGGGAATCAACAAATAATGAGTACCTATCATAAAGATGAACTGGATGTTATATTGCCCCTGGGAATAGAGTCCAGGAGGAAAAAATATGGATAAGAGTAGTCTTAAGAGACAGATGGGCTTGTGGGTTTAATATCCAGGGAAAAAGTACAATGCTAATTTTGTTACAATTAAATGTCTTTGGCAGACACCAATATTTACGTATCCATCATTACCTAACTCCATGAAGGCAAATCCACCTATTTAGTTATCCAGATACATTTTGCAGCTCATTCAACCTTGGCTGGCACATTTATAAGGTTTGCAATTTAGAATCAATTGTTCTGGGTAAGCTCTTCCATCAAGATGCCAGTTGACTGGTTGGGAACAAAGACTAGGTTGTATGGCCCTAGCTGGTTTGGCTCAGTGGATAGAGCATTGGCCTGTGGACTGAAAGGTCCTGGTTTTGATTCTGGTCAAGGGCAGATGCCCAGGTTGTGGGCTTTATCCCCAGTCGGGGGCATGCACGAGGCAACCAATTAATGGATCTATTGATTCTCTCTCGCCTTTCCTCTCTGAAATCAATAAAAATATATATATTTTAAAAAGCATCCTCTTTAAAAAAAAGATTAGGTTATATGGAGTTAGACTAGGAGAGTGGGTACAGGTAGAAGCAATGGGCCAGGGGTCCTCAAACTTTTTAAACGGGGCCAGTTCACTGTCCCTCAGACCGTTGGAGAGCTGGACTATAGTTAAAAAAAACACAACTATGAACAAATTCCTATGCACACTGCACATATCTTATTTTGAAATAAAAAAACAAAACAGGAACAAATACAATATTTGTATTTGCATGTGGCCCGCGGGCCGTAGTTTGAGGACCCCTGCATGGGCAGTCCAGAAGCTTACTAGTAAAGACTAAGTTAACCCAGAGTCTACAAAAATAGAAGTACTGGTGTTAAAGAGTGCTCATATAAACATCACATCAGGAGAAAAATTGAAGATTAAATTCAAAATTAAATAGTGTGGAAGACCACAGTCAGGTGGGAGGAGCCATGGTACTAAGGTTGAGCATAGTAGCCCTGGGTGTCTTTAGATACCAGGTTTGCTTTACCTTTGTGAGCCAGCAGGCACATGATTGAGTTGGCATAAAAGAACAAGGAGGGGTTCCAGAAAAGTTCCTGATGTTCTTTGATGTTTTCAGGTTCAGGTGCTGATAATGCTGAACCTGAAAATACTCAAATTAGTTCTTGCCCAACTTTATTATGTGTCACTGGTGAAGGGGTTCTTGTACCCCCTCTTCTCCCAAGATGGAAATCAAGAGAGGAGGTGAAATATTCCAAAAAAGAGGTTTACTGAAAACAAGGTGGAGGGAAAGGGAAGAGGGGGGAGCTTGATGTGTCAAGGAAGCACACACTAATGAGGAAGGTGGCTTGCTGAACTGCTGTTGGGGGTCTGGCTTATATAGGGCTTGGTTCTTCATTCAGGCAGTTCCCTCTTATTTATGCATTCATTGGTCAATTCTTGTATGTTCCCTGGCCAGGGATCAAACCCACAAACTTAGCATATAGGAACAGCTCTAACCAACTGAGCTACCAGGACAGGGAAGATGATACTCTTTCTAGAAGTTTGGTAATGAAGAAATAGAGCAAGAGAGTTGCGTTCATTCACTATGGGTAAGGATCCAGTGAAAGCCAAGAGAAAATACCAAAAAAAATAAAATAAATATTTGATCGTACAAGGCCCAAATAGACTGGAGAGGACAAAATCTAGGGTATAGTTAGAAGGGTTAGGTTTAAGGAAAAGGAGGTATTTCTTTCTCTGAGATTGGACGAAATGAGAAATATTGAAATAGACAACATGGGGGACTAAAGGCACTCATTTCTGAAGACTTCTGCTACCACATCATGAGTCAAGGTTTGTGACAAGATTAAGAGTAGTGGAATTCTGAGCGGAAGTAGAGTGAAAACATTTAGGAATAATGCCTCTGAAAAACGATAGGGAGTCAACGGATGAGTTGAATCTGACACCACAGAAAAAAGAAACACAAATTGAAAACTAAATATGAATTGGGTTCATGTGAATTTTCTTCCCATTTCGGCATAGGAGTAAAAAAATCAATTGTTGGAATTTAAAACAGGCTTGATTTAATGGGAGAGGATGGAAGGATACGATGTAACTAAAAGGGAGAATTTTAGAGTTTAAGGTATCAGAGGTGGCAAGAAGCCTGCACTGTATTCCCCAGAAGTAAGAAAAATAATTAAGGTCAGAGTGTCTGATATGGTAAGCATTCCCAATATGGTAACAAGCAGGAGCTAAAATATAAATGCATGCCAGGTATTAAAATCAGTGCGGAAAGGGACAGAGTATCCTGGAGGTCAGTAGGAAATATGGACGAGGATAGGGGATTGACACAAATGGGGAGAAGTTACTCAGAGAGACTAGACCCTTTTAGTTTTAAGAGACGCACAATGCACATTGAAAGTTTTTATTTTCTCAGTGAACCTGCCAATATTAACTTTACTTGCAGTCACATTATTCCCTTAATTTTTTCACAGACAATATTCCATTTACTGTGTACTTCCTCGTCTTCCGGACATGTTTCATGTAAGACATTTGTTAGCATAGTAGTTTCAATTGGGCAGAACTTACTGCCAATAAAAGTAGAATTTAATTTGTCACATATTTTCCGTGGCAACCAATGGTCAGGGGCTTCAATGTTACAGATTTCAATTCTCCCCTTCTTTACATCTATGAGTACTTTAATTTCCAAGAGTGACTGTTCATGTAACACATTAAAGGAAGTTATTACACTGAACTTCGGGGTTGTGCCGTAGATCCATTCCCAAGTTTGTAGTTCTTTGGCTTTGCTATTTATTCCAGGAAACCGTGTCTCATCTGCTGGGTTTATCAAGTCGATGTGATTCTCAACGTGATGACAAGCAGCATACTCTGCCGCAATAGCATCTGTCAGTGTTTCACAGGTCAGAGTGGGGTCTTTTTCCAACAGACTTTTTACTACGGAAGGTATGCTAGCAGTTGCATTGCTCTTGATCCCTTGGTAAGGGCTCTTGAGCAAAGACGACAAGAGAGTCTCATCAGTGCTATATAGCAGAGTGCAGTGGTGATAAGCAGTCGTCCGGCCAATCTTCGAAGCTGTTCCTGAGATTTTAAACTGTCCATCAAGTAAAAGGTCAAACCTTTTGGTAGGCTGCACATCCAGCTGGGGCTGGACAGCGTTCAGAGCTCTCACTACTAACTTTAGATTTTCCATCCTATTGTACATTTTTTTGGTTGTAAAAAAAGTCAAATTGATATTGCCCATGTCATGGTAAACTGTGCCTCCTCCACTTTTTCTCCGAGCCAGTTTTACCCCTTTTTCTCTCATCAGATTCGTTGCATTCC